TGCTTAATTTCAGCCTAAAATTGAGATTGAAGCAGTTATTTTTATAAAATACATTTATTTCCAATTAATTCTGTATTAACATCGAAAAAATAAAATTAAAAATAGCTTAAATTGCTTTATGTCAGTTTAAATTGGAATTGAAGCAATTGTTTTAATAAAAAACATTAATTTTTAATTAATTCTGTATTAAAATCGAGCAAAATTGGATTGAAAATAGCTCAGATTGCTTTATTTTAGAAGAAAACTCTTATTGAAGTCAGTATTTGGTTAAAATACTTTGATTCAGGTTGATTCCCAACTTCAAATTGAGCCAAATTCATTGAAAATATCACAAATTGCTTTTTTTCAACCTAAAATTGAGATTGAAGCAGTTATTTTTATAAAATACATTAGTTTCGAATTATTTCTGTATTAAAATCGAGCAAAATTTTACTTATTTTTATTTCTTTATTTTATTGTCTAAATAATCAAACTAAAGGACAGGGAGTAATAAAGTTTCTTATTTATAATTTAATGTAAGTATCTAAAAAATAGCAACATACTTCTTAAGTTACTTTGTACATACTGACTGCTAAAAGATTAGTTTTTTGCCGATATTTATGAATGTATAAAAATCATTTCATTTTGGAAAAAAGCTTTTAAAGAGCATTTTAAAAGTGTTTTTATATTTTTGTATCAGTAGTGGCAGTTGAGTGGCATAGAGGTTAAAGGGTTGGTTAAGGTGTTTTTAAAATTGCGTTAAAAAATGTTCCTTTTAATGACAAAATTAACCTATTTCGGGTTTTTTTTGCAAATTTTTTCTAAGATGGTCCGTTTTTATTAGAACATCTATATCTCATGAATGGATGGTCTGATTCAATTTTGGTAAAAAGTTTTGAAAACCTTGTTAAAATAGCTTTCATTTGATGTGCCACAAATAGGGTAGTGCCATTTGAATTTTTAAAGTTGGGGTGTGTGGTGGTTAAAGAGTTACTGGGGGTAATTTAAAAAAATTACATCAAGAAATGCCCCCCCCTCGGAAACAAAATCGACCTGTTTCGGCCTTTTTTGCAAAGTCTTTTTACTTTATGAGGTATTCGGTGTGGCTCGTTATCATTGGAACACCCTATATACTATAATCGACGTTTAATATTTAATCTTGCACGGTGCAAACCACCAACATAAATTACAGTATACTAAGTGTACAGCTGTTGGTAGATTAACCTCGTTTAAAAGAATATTCGTTGAAAAAACGTTAATTACTTTGTTTTTTTTTGGAATTACATAAAACAAGAAAAAGACTTCTCTGCCAATTCTTTAATGAAAAGTAATTAAAACAAAAAAACTTTTTTATAAAAGAATAGAAGGAAGTAATCTGCGGTTTGAAAAATAAAATTTGTTTAAATAAAAAAAATTGTTAAATGTGGTATGAGAGTAAATTAATTGGTCAATTATCGTTGTCTAAGCTGATTGTAGCTTAAAATATTCAAAAAAGTATTATGTAGATAGATTTGATAATAATGATAGAAATTAAGAGTCATAATCATTTTCATAACTAGAAAACGGTATCTACAAAAAAAAAACGTTTAACTTCCAAACATTTACCTAAAATATTTCAATTAAGAGTATTTGCTTATGAGAACTAAACTGAAAATTGTGAAAGCGACAGTTCGACTTTTGTAATTTAAAACTACAGGAGAAAGTTCCATACTGGTAATGGAGGACTATTTCAAAACCGTCACAAAAGGTAATGATAATTTTACACAATAATCAAACATTAAACAAAAATTGATTTACTTATCAAGAAGACTACTTAGAAGTGTTAAGATTGATTTCGTCCGACATTTTTCAATCAAAAATTGCCAAAACTGTTCTTTTGATAGTTTTTTTAATACACGTAAGTGTAAATATATTGACAATTTACGGTTTCCTGTACGATTTAAAAATTGAGGAACTGGTTTCTTATGGACCAATATTTTTTGGGAGTTTCTATGTAAGTATTAGAATAAAAAATATTCTTTAATTATCACTTAATTTTAGGGTTTATTTGCAATTTGGACTCTTTTGTTTAAAAACGAACTAGTTAGTAACGTGAGAAATGAACTAGAATTCTGGTCATTAAGCTGTGTTGAAAGAAAAATTGCTTTACGAATTAAATCTGATATAAAAATTACAACAGCATTCAGTGTTTGTACTTCTTTATTTAATATTTTGTGTGCATTGTTATTTTGCAAGCCACTTCCTGACGATATCCGATTTTTTTACGCGTTTCGATTTTTTGAAGATTATTGTTTTRGTTATAAAGATTTTCTTAACGTTGTCTACAGAGCTACATTTCCTCTTTTTGGATATGTAATGAGCGTTCACGCTTATCAACTAATTTATAACACTCAGCATGGCCGTTTTCAAATAATTTTGTTAACAGAATACGTCAAAAATATAACTAAACAAAAAAAGTTAAAGGAAAAGTTACTATTTTACCACAATGGTTATCAAAATGTCATAGAAAAACGACTCAAGTTTTGTGCAATAAGACACCAAGAATTTGGAAAGTAAACTCTAAAAAATCGGTTTTTGAGTTACTTGAGAATTTTTTTGAGGTTTCTTCACAACAAAATGAAGGAGATGAGTAATTTAATTGTGGGATTTTCGCTACTTGGTTGCGTGTTTGGAATAAGTTTAGGTTTTCAAATTTTGAGTGTAAGTGATTATGACTTTTTAGATTTTATTTTTTTCTAATTTGCAATTTAATTTCAAAGGGGAAAGTTAATGGTCAACATTATTTAAGAATTGGGATTATCTCACTTGTTGCCTCTGCTACTTTTGGAGCCATGATTTTAGGTGGACAATCCATTGAATCTCAGGTAGGTAAGTATCAATTTTCCTTTACATTCTTTTAAGAAACCTAAATTTTAGATCGATACAACTTTGACTATTCTTAATGAAGTCAAGTGGTACACTTTTAACAAAAAAAATAAAAAAATATACATTATTATATTAGCAAATGCCATGCGACCCTATAAAATTAAATTCACAGAAAATTATTCTGTTAACTTCTCGCTTGGAGTTTGTGTATGTCACCAAATGGCTAAATATTTTGCCAATTATAATAAACTGTTTTCAGATTGTTCGTGGAATGCTATCCATTACTCCACTAATTGCAAAGTTATATTATAAAATGTAACAAGTTAATAATTTACAAAAACTAGTGTTTTTAGATGTTGTTTATTCATGTTTTACACAATTTATGTAAGCCAATAAATATCACACTGAAAAGCAAGGCACAATAAAAGCCATAAAATGCGTGTGTATATTTTGGTCTTTAAGCCTAAAAAATTCAAATATTTCCACAGTAAATTTTGCATGTAAAAATTGCCGAGATATGTAAACTTGCACCTCAATTCTCAGCTGCAGTCAAAGCCATCACAGTAAAATTGACATCTTCGGCATTTCTTGAAATAAATTGACGGCAAACGTTTGCAGCATCCTACAAGACTTTTGTTATTAAAAATTTATTTAGTTTTGATAGTGAACCTCGAGGAAAGTATCCTCAGTTGTCGGTCCATGATTGATGGGAAATTCTTTACTCCCGTTGAGTTCATATAAATGTCCGTCTTTTTGTATCAATGCCATGAAATGATTATTGGTGGGCTCGTTTGGGTTGACCTCAGATTGACCTTCTTTAGCTAATTCTTGATGAGCTGCCATTAAATTGAACGATTCACCGTCTTCGGAGCTGAATAACAATTCTCCCCGTTTTTCAGGTGTTAGGTCTTTGGTTTTTTCCAAAAGTTGCTTGAATGGTCCCTCTACACCTAGTCTATTTTATGATAAAATTAACAGAGTTTTAAGGTTGTAACTGCTTACTTTTCTGAGTTATTTGCGATAGAATGTATCAAAGCGATTGTCCCACAAACATTTGGCACAGATTGTTTCACAAAAAATAAATCTGGAGTGATAATTTGACCTTCCTCTTTTAGTTTTATGGATTCTTCTTCAGCGTGTTTATTGAACTGAAATTGATTGTGTATATAAATTAATTACTCCTATTTATTTTAATTATATTTACTTGTTCATTGTTTGGACACAGAAGAATTAAAGCTAAAACAGGCTTTGTAATGCAGGCTAAATCATCTTGCTCTAATCCGTAAACATCTACAATGTTCCATTTGTTGGGAACACCCAACAAATGAAGAAACTAAAATAAGAGCATTATTTTTTAATTTTTGCAACTCCATATTTGATAATTTACCTTGTTCATTACCTATGAAAAGAAGGATTATTATGAGAATTTTATTTATTTTATTGTAAACTTACTTCAGGGTTCGATTCGAGAGGTAATAGCGCCATTTTCAAAGACTTTTTCAATTCACTTAAATTTGAATGACGTTTTTCATGAATCAGCAACTAGATGACCGGTGGATGAAATAAAGTTGCATAGGTTACTATGATAGAAGGCGCAAGCTCGAATAAGTGTTAAATCAATACAAATGTGCGACATCTGAGGTCTCACATCAAAACTATTTTTTTCCTTGAGATAAGCTTGTAAAAACGCATAAGACGTGAAAAATAAATAGATTTTGTTTTTTCATTAGAACATACCAACACTGAAACCAAGAAAAAGGATTTAAACAAGTTCAAATATTATGAAATAGAAAGAAGCAAAACAAAAAAAAATAATTTAGGAAAGCATAAATTTTGATGACAAAAAAGAAAAAATGAGGTGAAAGTGTACATAGAAAATTTGAAATTCATTAAAAAAATAGTCAAATGTAAATAAAACAAAGTGGCGATGTCAGAAATATTTAAAACAGTATCAGAAAAAATAAAAAACAAAAAGTTTAAGAGAAAAAATTTTGTAGATCCGCCGAATTAAAAAAACTTCTTTACTAACAAGTTGCATACATTTTTTTACGCCCGTAATAAAAATCAAAAACTCTACTTCAACAACTTTTTATTTTAAAACATTGAAATTAAATGTATGTACAATTAACTAATAAAAGAGCTCAACTAAGAACTATTGAAAAATTAATTTCTGACAAATGCCATCTAATGTCACAGCCGTACACTTTTTGTGACGGATGTGAAAAAAATATTTAAATTTTTCTTGGCTTTAGTTTTTTTCTACTCCCATATGTCCCCGGATTGAGTTTACAAGAGGAAAAAACAAATCTTTGATTTTACGCCTAAACTGCAAAGGAAAAACATTTTTGCTTCACCTTCATATTTATGAATAACCCTATAGGTGGAAATGTGTTACTCATACATTATTTCGAGAAAACAACCTAATTTGTGTCGACTAATTGTTAAATGTCCATTTCATCAGAGTCTCGATAGAAATAATATTTTTCTTAACTGGGCATTTTTTGAGTTCAACTGATTCCCGTTGGTGCTTTAATCTGTGGAATTTTTTTTTAGCTTAAAAGGTTCAACCTCATAATATCAATTCTCGATGGCGTATTTTGTGTTGTAGTATCCTTCCTTTGCAGATTTTATTAATTGCGTTATTTTTTGTTAATAATTAAAAATCATTCAGTTTTTCCTTAGTATAACTCTCGCCTCGCAACTAAGAAAAAACTCGGAATCACTGCTCCAATCCATTTTTTACAAAATGCCCAGGTGGAACATTAATTTCATTAAACAGTCGGTGGTTCAATTAATAAAAGAATATTGGATTATTATTATTGTCCAACTGTCATTACTCATTAGACTAAATAATGTCATTATTTTATACAATTATTATTATGTTTCATCAACATTTTTTTAATGTATTTGTAATTAGGTCAAAATAACGAGTATAGCCATTACATCTTAAATCGTTATTCATTAGGTATATCAATGTGAAGTTTATTTCATTACAAGCTTCATGTTATATTCTTTATCGTATCAATTAAGTTCGTTTTGAAATGTCACTTGAGTTTGCATCTAACGTATTATGTTTGTAATATTATGGTCTCCATAATTATCAATAATAACTTAATACTAGATGATGATGCGATAATAGCTGTTAATATAACGAGAATATTATGCGATTTTAACCATCTTGGACGCTGCGCAGGTGACTCGGCTACGCCTCGTCACCTAGCAACGTCTTTGATCGTTATAAATTTATAAATCGCATAATATTCTCGTTATGTTAATAGCTATAATTCTTCTTTAGATGTAACAATAATTGTTCAACCATTTCAMTGATCGTATCAAAAAATGAASGACTCTAGCAACTCATTTTTAAAAAGTAATTAAAATAGGCATATATACTTTTGAACACAATGTGAAGAAGAAATTAGTGAAGATTTTATAATGAGCATTTTCAAACAGTGGTCAAAAGGTTCCAAAGCTGCTTAGTTAGTTATATTGAGTTTTTAAAGTAAGAATAATTTTCATAATTTATTAAAAGCAAACGTTGTTTTTAGGTTTAACAAAAAAATTAAACAGATGAGCAATTTAATAATTTAATTGTTGAATTTTCTTTATGTGGATGTCTTTTAGAATTTTAGAAAAGTATTTCGTTTTATGTTTTCTCGGTATGTATCGAAAGATCAAGATAATTTGTAATCAAGTCATCTTTGGATCCGAATACGTATGTTTGTTTTTGAACTAACTGCACGTGAAACGTCAAATAAAATGATAAGTCGAAAAGTAAAACGGCAAAATGGGCTGGAATTACTCGCCGACCGCCGACATGCCATTTTACCTTTTGACTTGTCATTTTATTTGACGTTTTACAGACATAAATACGTTTCCAATCCAACGATGACTCGATTACAAATTATCTTGTTCTCTCGATATACAGGGCTTTTATTTCAAAAGGATCTAGTCTCAATAACTTTTGACATTAAGTAAATGTATTTTCAAGCAAAAACAGGTCGATTAGGATCCCGAGGGGGAAGTTGAAAACCAACGTTAGTTACATTTTAAGTTTCATCCCTTAGTCGCTAGCCACCCCTACTTTAAAATTTTAAATGGCACCCCCTACTTTTTAAAACGATTTCGGAAAGAGAAAAAATCAACGTCTCTAAATGTCAAAGAAAAATTTTTTTTGTCGATTTGTTTTTCAGTTAGGGGTGGTTTAATTTATGAAAGTTTTAGTCCTAGTAGCTTTTGAGTGAACTCAATTTAATTTAAATAAAAAATATGTCCATTTGGGTTGCGATGGGAGAGTTTAAAACCAAAATTAAATACGTTTTAGGTTTTATCCCTTAGTCGCTAGCCACCCCTACTTTAGAATTTTAAATGGCACCCCCTACTTTTTGAAAGATTTTCCGAAAGGGAATAAATGAGCGTATTTAACTGTCAAAGAAAAATTTTTTTTTAGTTAATTGTGGTTTAATTTTTTAAATATTTAGTCCTAGTAGCCTTTGATTCAACTCAATTTAATTTAAATAAAAGTAATTTTTTAATTAACTGAACTGTCAAATGGTAAATTTTCGCTGAATTGTTGACACCACCGCCTTCTTAATAAAATGTATTAGATGACACACAATCAAAATCAAAGTTAAAGGCTACTAGGACTGATGCAAATTTCTAAAATAAAACTACCCCTAACTCAAAAACAAATCGCCAAAATATTTTTTTTTATTTACGATTAGATAAGCTTTTCCACCCCTTCCAAAAATGTTTCAAAAAGTTGGAGGGGCTCTTTAAAATCTTTGAAGTAAGGGTGGTTAGTGACTAGGGGATGAAACCTAAAACATATTTAATGTTGGTTTTGATTTCTCCCATCGTAATCCAAATCGACATATTTTTTATTTAAATTAAATTGAGTTCAATGAAAAGCTACTAGGTCTGAAAATTTCAAAAATAAAACCACCCCTAACTGAAAAACGATTCGACAATTTTTTTTTCATTGACAGTTAGATACGCTCATTTATTCCCTTTCTGAAAATGTTTCAAAAAGTAGGGGGTGCCATTTAAAATTCTAAAGTAGGAATGGCTAGCCAAAACTGCAAAGGAAAAACATTTTTTGTTTCACCAAAAACGAGCAAATCTGTACTTAAAACTTCATTATTCTGATTCAGTGAAAAGAAAAGTTAATTTTTAATTGTTTTTTAGTCGCGGGCTGAATTTAGTTTTCTGTCATTTAATTTAATTTTTAATTTAAGTAAATTTTTTTGACCACAGGTCGTGGAAAAAGTATGTATGTAACACGTGTATAAACTTCTCTAGACTTTCGTTTTAAACACTCACTCCACTGCGCTTCCTCTTTATTAGTTTTCGGGTTGGGAAGTGGCCATTTTTCAACCTGAACTGTTGTATTACATATCAACTGATAAGGAGGTAACCACTTTCCTACCTGAGTCTGATATTTCATATCAATTGTTAAATGAAGTTGAAATGTCATACATTTCAACTTTTCACATGCAAGGTAATTTGATGATTACTTTATGATTGTGAATAATTAGTACATTACAAGCGAGGTGGTAAATATCGCATTACCGCGAGTGCTCATGTATAAAGCACAGGGTAATGTCATTACCACCGAAGCTTGTATGCTATTTTATTCACAATCATATTATTTTCAGTCAAAAATTTGAGTAAAATAAGATTCTAACAAAGTTAAGGTCCAAACGTGGTAGGCCATCCAAATGGCGTTTGATTTTTGACATTTGAGAAATGTCAAAGAAAATATTGAAATAATGTGTGAATATGATTTAAAATAGTCAAAATGGAGCAGTGTGCTCCCTCAGAAGTAAGAGAAACTGCTACAAAAGCAATTGTATTTTTGTAATGTTAAGGTTGGCTATCCTGCATATTACCGCCCAAGAGAAGTAAAGTTATTACTCCTCATGAGATTTAATGATTATTTCCCAACATTTAAAAGGTTAGTAATCGACATATTACATTAGTGATTGTGAATAAAATGTATTACACTTGCGTTCAGGCTTTTTTGTTAAAAAGCATCTAACAAGTCTATCGAAAAATAATTAGCAGATGGCTTACAAAAATAGGACACAAATCACATTTTTTTTTCTTTAATAATATAATACGTAAAAAGAAATTTGTTACTTTAGCACAATAGAAGATCTAATAAATTATAAATCTGCGTACCTAAATTTATAGAAATTGATTGAAAAAAGTATAAGGGCCAATTTCATAATCGAATTAAAGTTAATGGTAGCTTAGAATGTGCTAATAACTAGGGACTTGTTGACAAAATTTTCACAATCTAAACCAACATTAATTTTAAAGTCCCTTTAATTCGATTATGAAATTGGCCCTAAGAAGAGAAACTCATTCTCACTTAAAGAAAGAAAAATTTTAAATTTCTAAAGATAAAAGTTATTCTTGTAGTAAACCTGGCAATTATTGTACAGTGCGTTCCAACAAATAAAAACGAAACACTTATCTGTTTTTTGTTACGAGTGTAGGTATTGTCAAAGTTTTAGATTACACCCACTTTAAGCATATAATCCAAAATAAATTTCCAAAAAATCATTCTAATTCATTTTAATGTCA